ATTACATGTCCCTACGTACCGACGTCAAGAGCTCCTTGCCCGAATCGGCCTTTGGAATTCACCCTCCCAAGGAGAATGGAACTACGAATGGCTTCCAGGTTCTCTCCCTAACCGTGCCCCCTTTTCTCGACCGAACTGTGACCCAATGCTAATCATATTGGAACTTGGACCTTGTTGCGACTGGTCTGCGTTGTCACTCAACATAGACGTAGGCCAATTGCCTCCCATGATTCCGGAGTCGGCCTGTGACATCTCACCGCTTGCCTGTTGCTGTGTTTGTTCCCTGCGTGTTTGGTTTTCTCGTCCCCTAAACAACATACTCACCTAACAGAATGTTACTTACTCTGCCACTTGCCCTTGTCATGAAATGACATTCCATATCACCCCCAGCCGAGTGCCGCGAGGCTGACTAGACCCGCTCCTCCTTTTTCCCCATATGAACTTCATGTCCTTCCGTTTAATATACAGCAACCGGCCACACAATCTCTGCGAAATGGGTGCTTCTTGTCGAGAAGACTGGCGAACTACCGCTTCAGTACTAAAAGAACACAACGCCACTGTCTCCCGGGCAAACGGCCTTCTTCTACCGCCTCGAGGATTAGCTGCGTCATTCATCATCTGTGCCCAAGCACCCACAGAAGTACCTATATACACAGGGACATTTGGTAAGAAGCTGAATCTCTATCTCAGGAATAATCTGACCGGTGTTATTGTAGAGGTTAAGCGGGTTCCGCCGTCGTCCAAGGCGAGTCAAACAATACAAGCCCAGTATCAACAAACCTGCTCGACTACTTCCCTACCACGGGATTTCGCATAACCCAGAATTTGGCTCAGCGTCCTACTGTCTTCTGCTGGTAAGTCTGATGGTCCTCTTGAAGAAGCGCGAGCAATGCGTTTCTTTACTCACATCAACATAGATCAACTCCAACCATCAACATCAATGTCGGAGCCATACTCGAGCGGCTATTTCAACAATTACAACCTGTCTTTGACTAACCCATGGGAGTCTGGCACTTCTTCGGGCGATCAAAGCAGCGGTGCTATCGCGATGGCTCAATGGGGCGATCCGCCACCCGGTGATGCCGCCACGGGGGCTCCAGAGACGCGAACTTCGAGGCATCGCACCCGAATTATGGAGCAAATGATCAACCCTCAGCATGAAGTGATCACGGAAGCCTCCATTCTCATGAACCCGACACATCAAGACACATCGCCTCCGTGGGCCACGGTTCCTCGCGTTCTCATATCTGACCGTTACAATGTCTCGTACACGTGGGAGGATACAGTCGTCGCCTTTGGCTACGCCAACTTTGTCAGAGCGAAAACTTGGAAAACAATCACCCCCCTCGGCAAGATGGTACCGATTGGTATAGCAAATGTGTACGTGTTGAAGAGCGTTGTCGGAGTGGAAGCTAATCCTTTTCTTGTCGACTTTCATGTTCTCCCCGGCTCCCCACCGGTAGGTGGCGTCTTTTTCATTCTCGGTGCGGAGGTAATTGCGGAAGAATTTGGCAGTGGTTGGAGACCAGACTGGACAGCACAGCATTACGCCTTGCGGAGGTCTGAACAACCAGTGATACGTTAGCTGGCTGAAACCTGTTGAGCTCAAGACAACATCGCGGGCGGTGATTGTTGTTGTGTGGAATTCTGTTTCTTTTGAACGGCACTTCCGTGGATCTTTCCGGTTGTTATTTTCTGGTGTTTCTTTGTTCTTTCGCTCTTTCTACCCCCTATATCCTTTCTTTCTCTCCTTTTTAGCCCCATTTCTTCGACACCGCTTCATTTTGGATCTCTTTTCAAGTTACCCCCTTAACGACACAGCCTCTATCTCAAGAAAATGGCGCGTCGGTGTTCCTGCTGGTTTCTCTCAAAAACTGAGAGACGAGTTCTTCAGGGCATCGCCATCTTGGGAAAAAATAAGAATTGGGAACGACTGTTGTTTGTAGTTAACTTTGCTTATTGTTTGTTTTTTGTCTTTGCCTCATCTCTGCTTCTGACGACGTCATGTATCAACGAACGACCCATACCCCTTGGATTTTGGGCAGATTGAACCCCAGATAGATAGACACGCACATCCAATGGAACAAATTGATTGGGATAGATGATTGTCAGCGTATGCTCAGACTGGCTTCGAGGCGATGTCTTAACAGTGCAGAGAGATGTTGCGAGGGTCATGGAGAAACGGTCCATGAAGAGCAATAAGGGTCTGTCAGTGCTCGTTAGGCATTCACCCAGTTGGGGGCGACTGTTGTAACCTCAAAAAGTGAGGCTCTTCTGTCGGACAGGCAGGGAATGTTGGTTCTGGTGATGGTGACAGATCTCAACAACTCTCAACAAAAACGAGCCGGTTCGGTACACGGAGCGACCTAACCCAGATGGGCAGGTCGACCGACCAACATTCTGTGTGCAGGACTGGTGATGCCTGGTGCTCCGAAGGGCTGGATGTCGGGTTCAATGCCGAACATGCAGTCCGACGGCAAGGGAGAAACCCCCGAAAAACAACCGTTGGAAAACCGTTCTAAAGCTAAGGGCCGCCTTGTTTTGTGTGAGTGGCTGCCGAGTATCTGCGTTCAGGCACCTTGCCACGTGGAAAAGGCGCACACAGGGTGGAGGACTATGTAATTCATGGTACAAAAATTAGCCTTGTGGCCCTTGTGCAGTACTTCGGACCGCTGCGTCACATACCTGGTACACGAAGCCGAAGCCGAAGCTGCCCTGTGAAGCTTCCGATTTCCGTGCATGCATGATCCTTTGCGTCGCTCGGCCGGGACGGGAGATCGGGTCGCGGGCCAAGCCAAGAAACACAGCCACATTGCTGCCACAATGACGATTGCCTTAAAAAAGGATTCCTGTCATCCTACTTACCACACCCACCTCAGTTTATGAGGGGTTCGTGTGTTTAAAAACAAAACAATATATTGATCCCCCCAACATGCGACGCGTGAAAACTCTGGGGGTCCCATCCGAGGACACCACCATTACCGCGACTGCGAGTATACGACCAACAACCGGCCTCCCGTGAGGCACAGAGGCATAGCCGATTGAGCGGGATGCGGCATCATGCGGGAGTGCGGTGCGGTGGCCATGTTAGTGTGTTGTGGTGTTGGTGCGTGTCTGTGTGGCATTCCGCGATTCCACTTTCCCAATTCGGGAATCTTATTCTTCAAATGTACGCCGACTTTCAGATCGTGGCGATTTTGTTCATGACGATGGTTGTCAGGCCGGATTGTCGTGGTGGGAGGATCATGGGCCCATTGCCATCATGTCCGCATCCACCCCCCGTGGCTCGGGATCGTCGCATATGGGTAATACATCAGACGGACGGAGGCACGATAGAATCATTAGAACATGACTGCCTAGAGCGGCGAGATGGGATGGATCAGGCGGGCTTGGACGGGAAGGATCTTGGCAGGATCAATAGAAGTGAGACCGTGAGACGAATCGGGTGTTGATTCTGACAGGCAATCAGATGAATTAGCTTCAGACGTTTGATTTTGAACTCTTTTGATATGATTTTGTTGATTCGATGATAAGTTTCGGGTTTATGAACGCCGAATGGCCCGAAACCTCGACAGTGGATAGGGAATTAGGGATGTCGTTGGAATTTAGTCAGCTGCCAGCCGTTTGCTGGTGCACTCTGTAGCTACCCGAATGCACTGTGACGTTCACCAAGAGTCTGGCATGTGAGACAGGTTCCGCACAAAAAGAAATGGACAAAATTTACGCCAATCGAGGTACGAAGCTGAAAATGGAGGCCTCCTGGGTCCTAGGATCACAGTAAATCATATCAAGTCTTGGTTTCATCTGCCTAAATAACAATGTCGTTGTCTTTTCTTTTTTTGGGCTGGGTTGGGTACCGACACCGGGCTTGAACAGCTCTTCTGACAACCCCGGCTCAGACCGGGAATTGCACACCCTGCCCGGCTCGGCATATCACCAAGTCTAAGTGCCGGGTTTAGGTCCTCACATATCTGTTTCGATTTCTCTTTCGACTGGGACTTCCATTCATTGAACTTGCAGTCTTACGCGTCCATGCTGACAACAGGCTCAAGCGCATTCGCCTCGACAGGAAATATATCATAGCGGGACTCGATGCTTACTAGATATTATGCGCCGCATAGAGGTCTTGCGTCTATAACAAAAAGATCGAATGATTGTGATTGGTGAGAAAAGATCAGGTGACTGTAATTGGCGGCGGTCCTTTATCATATCTCTGTCCGTGTTACCTTTTATCTGCTGTTTCTGTTTTACCAACCATACCTAACTATCCACTGAGCTTTGATGGATACTTTAATCATGCGTGTAACCTGAGATATCGTATGGATTGAATCAATGAGCTCAACCCATCGATCGGGTCGGATCGGTTTTCGTAAATGCCTCATAAACTACGAGGTTGGCCGAGTCACATAGAGTGTTGCATGGTGTCGGGAAACCAATGCGTGCCAACAGATATCTGACCGAGTGGCCCGGTCAACGGGAGAATAGGGGGCTGGCCAGATGGTCAGTGCATTTCTCGGGATTCCTTCTGAGATCGTAAGAATTGGTCAATTCTGTCAATCAACAAGCAAACAGGCGACCGTAAATAGTATTATTCCCCGAGGTAAATCCAGGTTTATACGCCGTGCAAGACCCGCCCTTTTCAACGTGTTGATGCACGCTTGGTAAACCAGTCTTAAGGGATGTCTACCGCCGAAATGCCTTCTATTTTTAGTTGGCCCTCACCGCTCAATGTAAACAGCAATGGAGCATCCAGGCAGAGATTCCTGAGACATAGGAACGAACGCGTGGCCCGGCATCCCGACAGCCATTCCAATGCACGAGCATGACTAAAAAAAGCAAGCAGGATCCAGTTAAATCGGTTGATTCAAATAAACATTGCCAAACGGCGGAACATACCTAGGTAATGAATGAAGTAGGATAAAGAACGTGGAAGAGAAAGGGGTTTATAATAATGAAAAAGGCATAATTTTATTATTAAAAAAAAATGAAAAAACAAATCGGGGCTCAACCGGGATTTGAACCCGGGACCTCGCACATCTTTGATCACCTGTTTGGAGGTGAGGGAGTATTCCCGAAGCGCGAATCATACGACTAGACCATTGAGCCAATTGAATTGAATACTTTCATAGTGAAAAAATATCAACTATCAGGGGGTTCACAGCGGGAGAGGCCCGAAGGGGCGTGTTTGCTTAGCATGTCTCCAACCCAAAAAGAGAAGGCACTTAATAAGCGTCGCCTATCTATTCACTTGATTGCGGATTTTTCTTGTGTCGTGCCTTTCTCATGCTCTTCTCCTGCTATAAATCGATTCAGCTCCGATCCGCCAGCGCCGGAATTCCTTGGCAATTGCTCCGAGTTTCTCCAATGAAGTCATAAGCGTTCTTCAAGCACCCTCCCTCCACTATGGAATTTTGAAAGGCCAGACCCCTACCGGATCATAGCCCCATCAACGGAAGGAAAAAGTCCACCTATCAATGGCCCGTCCAGTGCAAATAAGGGGCAACCCCATGAGGCATAAGGGGGCCATGCGGGGTGTGCCGCGGGGTTCCTGTATCGGCCACCGTGAATGGCTTCATGCCTTCTGAAGGGCACAATGATAGTTTTCCTCTTCACTTTTCTCTCATTTTATTCCCTTTGCATTCTTGCATCTTGTCTTTATTTCTTCGAGCCATAAGTACCTAATCAGTCTTTCTCCGTTGGATATACCCTCACACGCAAAGAGCTATAACAAACACCTACTGGTATCCTATAGATTAAAAGGAGGACGACAGGCAGCCAAACAAACATGGCCGAAATCACAATCACCGGCTGGTCCACACGCGATGTGCGCTTCCCAACATCGCTGGACAAGACGGGTTCGGATGCCATGAACGAGACGGGCGACTATTCGTCCGCGTACTGCATCCTACAAACCGATTCAGAGTTTTCTGGGCACGGCATGGTATGGACATATATAACCTCTCATTTCATCCCGAACCCAAGAAAGCTAACATCAAGTTCAGACCTTCACAATCGGCCGCGGCAACGATATCGTCTGCGCAGCCATCAACCACGTCGCCAACCGAATCAAGGGCCGCACGCTTTCGAGCCTCGTCGCGCACTGGGGCCAAACGTGGCGACACCTTGTCAACGACTGCCAGCTGCGATGGATCGGACCGGAAAAGGGCGTGATACACCTCGCCCTGGGCGCCGTCGTCAACGCCATCTGGGACCTGTGGGCGAAAACGCTCAACAAGCCCGTCTGGCGCGTCGTTGCCGACATGACCCCCGAGCAGTTCGTCGACTGCATCGACTTCCGCTACATCACCGACGCCATCACGCCTGACGAAGCGATCGCCATGCTGCGTGAAGCGGAAGCGGGCAAGAAGGAACGTCTAGCCGACGCGGAGAACAGCCGCGCCGTTCCGGCGTACACGACGTCAGCAGGCTGGCTGGGCTACGGCGAGGACAAGATGAAGTCCCTTCTCCGCGAAACGCTAGCAAAGGGTTACAAGCACTTCAAGCTGAAAGTGGGCGGTAGCATCGAGCAGGACCGCCGCCGTCTGGGCATCGCACGCGAGATCGTCGGTTACGACAGCGGCAACGTGCTCATGGTCGACGCGAACCAGGTCTGGTCGGTTCCCGAGGCGATCGCGTACATGAAACAGCTGGCCGAGTTCAAGCCATGGTTCATCGAGGAGCCGACTTCGCCCGACGATATCCTCGGCCACAAGGCCGTGCGCGACGCGCTCAAGCCGTTCGGCATCGGCGTTGCGACCGGCGAGATGTGCCAGAACCGGGTGATTTTCAAGCAGCTCCTCATGTCCGGAGCCATTGATGTGTGCCAGATCGATGCGTGCCGCATGGGCGGCGTGAACGAGGTGCTCGCGGTATTGCTGATGGCAAAGAAGTTCGGCGTGCCGATCGTGCCGCATTCTGGCGGCGTCGGTCTGCCCGAGTACACGCAGCATTTGAGCACGATCGATTATGTTTCTGTCAGCGGGAAGTTGTCTGTCCTCGAATATGTGGATCATTTGCATGAGCATTTTCTGCATCCCTCTGTCATCAAGGACGGGTACTACCAGACGCCGATGGACCCAGGATACAGTGTTGAGATGAAGACGGAGAGCATGGATCGGTATTCGTTCCCGGGAAAAGAAGGGGTTAGTTGGTGGAAGAGCGACGAGGCAAAGCCCATTTTGGATTCGGCGGCGAGTTCCAACTAGAGTTGATTTGCTTGGTTTCGATTTTGTTTTCTTCTTTCAGGGGCTGGTTGGGTTAACATTATTCATTGGTTTATATAAAAGTGCTAGGGGTCCGGCTAAAGGAGGTCAGTCCGCAGGGCAACGATGGCATCCTGTACAATTATCACTTTAGAAGTATATAATTGTCCGCACTATCTCTCATAGATTTCATGGTAATGTCTTTAGACACATCTCTACGGTTTTGTGCTCATTCATAAATATGACATCTTGAAGTGATCGTTGTCACCCCGGGCAGTTCTTTTCCATATCTCTACCGGTATTTAAAACCTTCGTGCAGTTACTTGCCAGGTCCTGGTCTGGACAAGAAAGCATCTTTGTACATGCTATGTAAGCTTATATTTATTTTACTGAGACGCATATCTTGATCTTACCATTGAATATATGTCATAACGGTTACCATACCTCTTTCGTCCCCGCCGCCCGTGTATCGTTTCATCTGTATGTCTGTTATGAGTGAATGAACGAGCGAAGCAGTAACCGGAATGGAATCTTCGATCATTACTCTAGACCACTTCAAGAGACCGGGCCCATTGTGCGAATAGACGCCCATTTTAGAATAAACTGTTGGTGGCTTATTTGGAGGCCAGCCTCCTCAACGTGGTGTTTGCAGGGTGGTGTTAGGAGACTAGAAAGAATGGAAAGCCTGGGTGCTCATAGAGCAACGAGGTTCTGTGGAGAGCTCGTGATTGAGAGATTGTGAGTGAGCGAGGCCTGAGGAATTACACCCCTAGTAGATATATGTAACGTTGTTCGAGATCGATCCCCATTCTCGCTGAATGATAACAAGCAAGCCGATCACAATATGGATAACAAGATAATAGCCCAACCAAAAAAAAAGTTTGAAATAATTTTCTTTCTTTCTTGCCATAGTCATAATGCTTGATCAAATCCTATACATACAGGTATTTGTATACACAACATGCCCCCCTCCCAAACACCCCACCATAAGAGCGAGGGTGGGAAAGCATTAATATCGGTAAGAGGTATAGTAGTTAGCTCTAGGTTCAGTTGACGTTCGTCCCGGTGTAAACTGAACATGCAAAACAACAACATCAACAACACACTCGCTGTCCATCCATCCTTCGCGATAACTCTACCATACCGATGTCAACCGATACCAACCAACGGCCACAACCTGCCCCAACAAGTTCAAGACGCATCGTTAGGCCATGAAGGAGATGGTGAACAGCATCCTCATCCATCTCTCTGCGTATCCGTCCGTCTCTCCCACTCCAGCCTAATACACCACAAGGACCTCCTTGGAACCATTATTACACTTATACCACTCTCTTTCCGGGTCACTGCAGTTTGCGAAATTACTGCTTACCGGTTATCGTTTTGCCTCCCCAGCTTCAAGATGAATAAGTGAAAGGAACCCGGTGCAAAAAAAATAAATAATCCCAACAAAATGATAAAAAGATATAAAGATTCCCACCAGTAGCAAAAAACACCCACGCCCAAAAAATGCCATTGTAAGAAATTGCCGACGCGCAGGCGATGCAGTGCAATGCAAATAAGGTGGCCGCCTGAAAGGAGTTAAAAAATTGAGGAATGGTATAATAAGAGTATATGTGGATCATGGAAAGTGAAAACAAAACGTGGTCTCGAGTGTAGGTGAAGCTAACGTCTTCGTCCATGGAGTGTAGTACAACAGCCAGCGATAAACGCCAGGTGGTCTATAGAGGTAGTGGGTACCGTGGTAGTCATGGGAACAGGAGCGCATGAAGGCTGCCGACATTTTCAAGGTCATCACCATTCTCCGTCGTGGTAAGTGGGCCTGGGCAGACGTTCGAGATGGCCCAGGAGAGCATCGAGCTCGGTCCAGTTGGCATCGTTATCTGCAAATCGTCGGTGCTTGCGTGACACAATATGCTGTCGTCATGTTAGTGGCGCACAACGTTGAAAAGCAATGGGTACAAACTCACATCATCAAAGTCATCGAACTTATCCTGGCAGTTTTCACAATAGCCCGGCTTCGGATCGCGCACTTTCGGCTTGGCTTGAGGCGCGCTGACCGTCCTGCGCAGCTTCTCCTTCTGCTTGACGGTCTCATCTTCCTCGACCACATCCAGCTTCCGATGGGTAGCCCGGCTGACGCTGGCGGAGCGAATGAACGTGTTGCTATCATGACTCATCTCTGCCATCCGGCGCGAGCTCAAGTCTTGAGACACTGCAGGGGTACTAGCCTTCTGCAGGACCTTTCGCTGTAGCCCGTGGATCTCCTTGCTCGTGCCAGCCTTTGCTCCAAGCGCACCGGTCGTCGATGAGATCATCTGAGACCGAATTGCGGAGGTCACGCTGTTCGGCTGGACGCCAGAGGCGACAGGCTCACCAGCGAGGAAGCGACCGGCCTTTGCATGGCTCATGAAGGCGTTCTGGGAACGGAAATCGAGCGACGGGATGTTCGAGACCTTGGTGCGGTCGAAAGATTCGGTGGCGCGGACAACCGTGGTTCCTCGGTTATTGCCGTCCTCCATCTCGGTCAGAGTACGTTTACCAGCGACTGCTTTGGAAGCTGGGGCTTCCGGGGGCTGCAGTTTAGGTGCGGCGGCCTCAGCAGCTTCCTTTACCACACGCGTCTTGGTGCGTGACTGGGCACGATTGTCTTTTTCGGGTATCTCGTAGTCCTCAACAAACGGGCAACGGCCCTGGGACGCAACACGAAACTGAGGCCAGTCACCATCCTTCTTGTCGGCAACCCTGGCGTACTCACGAACCATGATCGGCTTCGTCTTCTCCTCGATGTCATATACATAGATATACGGCCCCTTGAAGTAGGTGATCTCTTTGGTAAGAACCGTGGGATCTCGATCGGATGGCCCATTGACACGCTCATTCTGGAGCAGCTGGAGCAGATTAGAC